AGGGAGGGGGGGATGGGGAAGCCGCCAGCACGGCGTTCGTCGCCAGCTGTCTACAGCCTCGAGTTATAAATCTAAGAGGGACGGTTCAGCCGGTCGGATTATGGTGGGTCGAGTAGGTGAGGCGGGGCCCCTTCTGCTGTGAAAAAGCAGAAAACAAAAACAAGAGAACACACACTGTGGTTAGCACAGCAATCGCAGTCACAATCACTCATGCTTCTCCACCTCGCCTGAGCCAGCAAGAGAAAATCTCGAGGCACAAACTACCCAGGAAGGAGACCTGCAGGTTTACCCCCGGCCTCGCACTGGCCCTTCTGCACAGCGTGGATCACCAGCAGGCAATTGGCTTTCCCTCTGAAATTTGGAAGTGCAGAGAGTTATTGCCAGGGAGTGCACTGGCTCTGGAATGAGAGTTGAGAAGCATGGACAACAGTGAGCTCCTGTATCAAGCACATGACAGTCACACAGCATGGATGGGGTCCTCTGAGACATGCTGCTGTCGATGGTTCTTGGCTGGTTTGGAGGAGCACCTTCTTCCCCTGCCCTCGAGGCTGCAGCAAGCCTGAGATCCCCTGTTCCTATACATGACACTGATCTTTGATGTTAGGGGCAAACCTGCTGCCTTCAGTTCTCTAGCTCTGTGCACAGCAAATGCAGCTTCTACTTCAATAGAAGGAACTTTGGCCATTGCTACTCTGTTCTGTTTCAGATCTGTTGCTGGTGCTTGAGGTAGGTAAGTGGGCAGCAACTTAAGTGTTTGCCTTCTGTGTGGATTAAGTGTTCTAGGATCTCCTTCCTGTAAGGGACTACGGAAAAACAAATCCCCAGAAAACACAAGACAACACCCCTGCCACCTCTCTCAACGCATTACTTGAAAGATCACTTCAGCCTCAGACTACAGGCTTTAAGAAGTCTGCAAATAAAAATAGTGTTTGGTGAGTCAGTGAGTCCAATCTGTTTTTCCTTTAAATCACACTCCCTGCAGTCTCTGCAGCCCAAACAGCATCACAATGGTCTGTCATGATAATGAAATTGTTCAGTGCCAAGCCAGAGTAGATTTACTGTCCAAACTGCCTGAAATGCAAAGAGCAAACCCAACAGGACAAAGACCAAATAGAGAGGAAGCGCTTGCACTGATCACGCAGGATCAGGTGTCACAGAACTAATGCCTCAGCAATCTGCACACTAACAAGCTATAATTTAGATTACAGAGAACCAACTGACTGCTGGAAATTAATGCCCTCCCCTAGCAGAGGGGCTGAAGGAATGGAGGGGAGGAAGGGAAGAGGGGCAGAGGAGGGTATTTGCACCAGCACAGTCTTCAGAGCTATAGACGTTTTGTTTTGCACTGACTGCAAGGCTCTAATCCTGCTGGTGCCACAGGAGCTGTACTCCTGTAAATTGAGGCAAGCTCCCTCATCTTAGCAAATGAACCAGTGTAACTACAGTCCTGATCATTAGACCTCAGCAGAATTTATTGCTCCATATCTATTAAGCCCCAGGTCTCAAAACAATTACAGCCACTTGTTCCTTGCCCTGGGAAATGATATATTAAAAACGCTTCAGACAGTAAAACATTTCCAAATGTTATTTCCTTGACTGAAAATGTCAATGGGGACTGTAAGACCCCATTGTCAGCCTGCCAGTCAAATTACTGCTCCTGTACAGTGGATAATGATGGGGGTGAGCTAAGCTGGAAATTACAGCCACCTTGGAAGGATGTTGAAATAACACTATCTCCCAGAAGCAAGATTTGCCATGAGATATTACAGCTGGGGAATCTGTGACCCTGAGCTTCTCAACACATGGGATCTGTGCATTACCTCTAAAGGTGACTGTGGTGTAAATGCAGCTGTTATCAACCATCTGATGACTAACACCATCACTGGAACAGAAACAGCACTTCAGTTAAAACCTTACAAAACTTCAGCTCAGCCTTTAGTGAGGGGCTCTTGCACTGTCACCTGTGGTAGAAGGCATTTTTTGAGGAGCTTGAAGGACTTTTTGCATTTCAGGAGTTTGGACAAGTTGTCCTAACAGCCTCTGTGGATTTACATGAACAGGATGCTTGAAGCCACTGGACTGTGTAATGTGTTCTAGCAAGAGAGGCCACTGGCCCTACCAGAATAAATAGGGCTGAAAGGAGCACAAATAATCTGCAGGTAGATGGGCTGCTTTTTTGGTAATGTACTGTGATTGATTTCTGGAGACACTTATTTCTCTCAGCACTTAGAGCATTTTAAGGGGAAAGGCTGTCACTTTTTGATGTTACAGCTTCTCTCTCTGCTCAAGTTTTCTGGAAACACCTGCAAAATCTGCCTGATAAGGTTACAGAAGGCTTAAAACCGTTTCCCAGCACAAAAAGAGATAGAGAAATCTCTCAAGCAACATCTACCCCTGAAATGCTGCTTCAGTCTGTCTCACTACACTGCTAGTCAAGCCCTTTTACATCATTCAAAAGTCACTTTCCTCTATGGGGACAAGAAGGAATGATGTTCTGCTCACAGGGAAGCCTGTGACAGTCTCTAGTGTCTGGGAAGTCAGACCTAAATCCTGGCAGGAACCCAAGGAAACTGGTTACAGTGACTGTCACATCCCTTGAAGTCAAGGCTTTCAAGCTATAACCAGACTAGAACAGAACTAATCACATCTAGGGATCAACAGGCTAATAGTTCTGCTGATAAAGATCTAACAGAGATAAATGGTGAAACATCACATTTATTCCCCTGGGCTGCAAAAGGTTTGGGGTGGGGTTTTTGGGGTTGTGGTTTTGGTGTTTTATTTTTTAATTTTTATTTCCTTGGTGCTCTTTATGCCAGATTAAGAACAGAATGCCCCATAACAGCGAGTCCCAGAACGAGGTACAGACAACAGCAAGCCTCCTTCTTGAGGGTGTTCAACAAGATGCATGTTTCTAGGGCTGCCAGGGCTGTCTGCAGCAGACAGTATTGGAGGAAACTCCTGACTGCTCCAACAGCTCTGCAGTATGTCATCAGTGAGGAGGGCTGGCAGATGACATCCTCAAAGATGTCAATCACTGAACAATCACTGCATTGGTCTGATGTGATGTGGTACCTCTCAGCTCTAACTGCAGTTAGATGCAGCAGTACAGACACCAGCAGCTGCAAGATGGGGGCTGCCTGTGAACCCTCCTGCCTGGGAACAGGGCCTTGGATTTCTGCTCTGCCAATTAAGGCAGGACTTCAGCATGCTCCCTGCCCCCACTTCTCTCTGCTACAACCAGCAGCAAGGAAACCTACAGGAGCTGCTGCTGCTCCACTCCTCCCTGTCAGACCTTTCACTTTGAGAAACAACATCCACAGGGAAAGGAAGAAGGGGCCAGAAAACTCATCCTTGCCCCATTTCTGCCCTCTCTACCCCTTTGTCAATAAGGGGTGGAGGTTCCCAGGAAAATGACTGGGGAGAATTTGCTGGATGTGCCTCTTCACACCCCAGCTCCCAGCATTAACAGGACAAGGAAGAGCTGCTGGGCCAGCACAGTACACATGAGCCTGCCCCAGCACCCTGCCACATCACTGAGCAACTACAACACTGGAAAATGCAGGGAGAACTAGGAAAGGGAAACAGGCAGAAGCTCAGGGCAGAGGGGGGATACCAATCACTAAATCCTTCCTCTCACAGAGGCTGAAAGCAAAGGGGAGAAGGCAGTTTGAATAGAAGCAGAAGAGTAACCTACAAGGTAAAGGGTCAAGTGGAGAACAAGCAAAGGGAGCTGGCTTCTAATTGTGATGACAGGACACAAGGTTAAGAGGGAACATTCAGTGTCAGAGCTACCCTGCACTCAGACATGGAAGTCCTGGTATTAATCACCCAAACTCCTCCTGCCTTCCATGAGCACTAGGGACACTGAGGATGGGAACACTTCTCCAGCCAGACATTAGAATATAAGAAGAGGAGTCTGAACTAACAACTCCCCATGTCTCTGTCTTGATCCTAACAGAGCTGACAAACCAAATCAAAGCAGAGTTCATTCAGCTGATCTCCCAGTCAGTGTGGATATAAGCCAAATGAAAGACACACACAAGTTAGACCTTGTTGACAGAGCTCATTCCTCCATCCCACCTCTGTCTAGAGGCAGAGAAAGGGTCCTCCAGGGGTCTTAAGTCAGGTACTGAGGCTGTACCAGCTCCCACAGCTCAAGCAGCTGCTCTCTCTCTGATCAGAAAAGCTTTCTGTTCAAGACTCCTCCCTTTATGAGATCCTGGCAGAGGTGGTTCCTTGGACAAGGGACTCTGTTACTAACACAAGAACTAGGCAGCAGAGGTGAGCTGCAGAGTGAAGTCATGGAGGATGGGGACACAATGACTCATGCATTGCAGAAGAGTGCAGAACGTACCGTGGCTGCCAGTCCTCAGGGGTCACTGATAGTGATTCTGAAAGACAACATGAAATCAACATGGCAGTTCAGACAGTTCAAGGCAGCAGCCACACAGACTGTCAGGAGGGTGGAGCAGAGACACACGCCTGCAGACACACTCACACAGCCCCCTCCAGAGCACGGCACGAGTGGGCAGTGCTGGGCAGGGCTGCACTCCCCCTCTCAGGACCTCACACACGACCACAGCCTCACCTCTGCACCCATCCAGAACCCTGCTGTGCACAGGGCTGTGTCAAAAGCCAGCCATCTCTCCACACACCTACCAGCTGCTGCTCACTCATCCAAGTCCACTCCCATGCAGGCTGATGTTCATACCTGCTCAGCCAGCTGTGCTGACCTAGGTCTCAGCACAAGTATCAAGCTTGTCTCAGTTCTTGTCTTCTGACTGTTTTAAACACTAGACTTGAGACAAACAGCTCAGGGAAGAGGGAAATAACATGCAGTCCTGAGCATTGTGTAGAAAGGGAAAGGCTTGTGTTTTGACAGTCACAACTCATGAGATCAGCTTCCCTGACCTCCTGAACAATCCATGTCAAAGTCAAGTTATGCTTACAGTGATGCTGATCACTTGCATCTTTTTCCTTAAATGTACCAAAGAAGGGAGAACCCATTAATGACTTCTACAGACTTTTCCAGTGGTTAAGTCATTCTCACTTAAACCTTCTTCAAGACTGCCTAAGCCCTTTCACCTACACTTTCTGTCAAACTATTTTAAACCGAAAAGCCTAAATAACTGGAGGAGTATCTTCAGTTTTCTCTCTCAGAGCAAATCCTCCCACATAGCTCCAATAGGCACAGAGTCCAAATGCAGTCCATCACACAAAGGTAGGACCTTAGATTGTTAGCTTTCAGCTCCCATAGGCATGTATTTGGCAATGTGGACTTCCACAGTAGACTGAATAAATGCTAAGTACAGAGGCAGGATGGCAAGTCTTGCCTTAAGTTTCTTTAACCATATGCAGGAAAATCTTTCTGTGCAAAAAAATGGACCATGTGGTGTTTACACATGAAAGCATGTGTCTACACAGTTATGTTCATGAGAAGGAAGTAGGGTGACACTTGTCTAAGTTCATCATTCATAAAATCAGATGCTCACACAAACTCAAGGCACAAAAACTGTCAAAATTCTACACAGGCACCAGTGGGCATACACACACAAAGCACATCTAGCCACTACCACACACTTCCAGTTCACTACAGAACACCAACTCCCCAGCAGAGCCCACTCATACCATATAGAATAGCTTTGCTCCTCTCACACACACAATATGTAGCCCAGTTAGCGAGGGAAAAGATGAGTATTAAAAAAAGCAACAATGGAGATGGCATCCGTTCACCCATGGCAGAAGGACCCGAGTCCAAGTGCTAGCAGGGAACATTCTTATTCTATATACAGGAGAGGAAGAGAAAGAGTCCCTTGTCATTGGAAATTCTCCATTCATCAGTGAACTCAAATGACAAGCTGGTGTCAGGATCCAGAGGAGTCTATGAACAACTGGAAGAATCAGAGAGGGGGATCAGAGAATGAGCATCACTTCACAGCTTCTGGTATTACATCCTCAACTCCAGATCAGGGCAGTCGCTAGCATGCAATCCAACCTACCATCTCTCCTTCTAAAGCAAGGGATTGCTCAGGTATGCATGAAACACTTTCCTTGCTCCAGTGCTGTTCCCTGCCTTCCCCTAAACCCTTCTCCCTCATGCAAAATGCAGAAAAGCCATTAAGTTAGGCTATGACAGGCTTCTTCAAAAAAAGCCAATTCATTTTAGCCCTTCTGGAAAATCCTATCACAACGATCAGGTATATAGAATATTTTTCATGAGTGAAGAAATGAAACTGAGTGAATGAAGAAAGATGGAGACGGAAAGAAGCATAACTATACTAAAAACAAAACCACAAAGTAACAGTATATGGAAAAGCAGGGTCACAAGAAGCAAGAGTCAAAATACACAGCAGAAGCATGCTGACATCTGGAGGCACCACCAGCAGGACTGCAGTCCCTGGGGCAACACTGAAGCATGTGTGGACAAGTTACAGTGGGAGCTGCATCAAGGTGCATAGGGAAGACTGGGGCAGAGGCACCAAGAAAGTAAAACCATTTGCACACACCAGACTGGTCTGTAATCTCTTTGGAGTCATCCACCTCCAGGGTGGATACAGCCTGGCAGAGAACACTTCCCCTCCAAACTGGCAGCACCAAGTGTGAGCTGGGGCACTCTCACAGAAGGAACCATCTATCTGCCATATAACATCACCACCCATTGACTGTCTGGGTGTTTTCACAAAAAGTGGCAAAGCTTCAGACATGTGCCACCAGCATCCACTGGAGGGGAGATATTTTCCATGAGGGAAGTGTTCTCTCTGGCATGTCTTCCATAAGACCAGGGGACTTCCTGGTTATGGCTGTTCTTTACACTGCAGTCACCTTCCCTTCCTCACATGGAGACCAAGTACCCAACATAAAAGCATTCCTGGTTCCACACTGTCTCCTAAGTCCTATTCAGGAACACATGCTTAGCTGCACAGAGGATAATCCCTTATTACTACGTTGAAGTGTGTTTGAAGTGACTGAACAGGAAAGGAATTAAGTTTCCTAATGGAAAAGCAAAGCCGTGTGATTTGAAACCCCTAGACTGGAAAATGTTCAAGTTGATTACAGAAACAACAAAAATGCCTTAAAAAAAAAAAAATCCATTTCCCTGCCAGTGATATTGCAATATTCTCCTAGCCAAAAAGCATCTGAACAGCTTAGATGAACTTTCTCCAACTCATCTTGACAAAAAATGCCTTAAAAAAAAAAAAATCCATTTCCCTGCCAGTGATATTGCAATATTCTCCTAGCCAAAAAGCATCTGAACAGCTTAAACTTCCTCCAACTTATCTTGACAAACTCTGGGCCAGGAGAAAAGGGGCAACTTCAGATTTTGGGGAGCCCTATGCAGACAGGAACTGCCTTGAAAGGTGTACTGTCACTCCAGCCCTGTGATTTTTCTGGTGACCACCTCTTCCTCGTGAGCAGAGGCATTGGCCTGATTGTTTTAACAAAGCCCTGGGGTACATGTTCCTCCTCCCCTGAGCTTTGCACAGAGATCTGTGAAGAGCAGAGGTCACCCCTCTGTTCCTGAGAGCTGCCCTGACATTGCCTCATCTGTACAATGAATCTCAGTGGACAATGATGCTCCTGCCTATGGACCCAATTCAAATAGCCAAAGACTGTACCTACACCATGCACTCCACTCTCCTCCTATGGCCCAGGCAGGCTAAGTTCTGTCAAGGCTACTAACCCAAGAATTAGACATATCCCACCTGTGTGGAGCAGTATGTCAGGACTTACCTGGGAACACCAGGAGGAGCACGATTAGGCCGAGAAGGAACCTGAGGTGGGGGCCCAAAGGGATCAGGAGAGGCACCTGGCCTGGAGGGCACAGGGGGGGCACCACCCAGCGTGGACCCACCAGCAGGAGGTGGCCCAGGAGCTGGGCCTCGAGACCCAGGTCTGGCGGGTGGAACAGCGGGAGCTCTCCTCTGCGGCGTGGGGCTGGACGTGGGAGACCTGGCAAACAAAGAGAAACTCAACTGCAACAACAGCCCTGGCATCCCTCTGCATCACCAGCAGGTCCCCGTACGCTGCCTTCAGTGGTCCTCCTCTAGTTTCACGTCACTTTACACACCACCCTTTGTCTTTCAAGGGCCACATGAGGCTTCAGGTTGCCTTCAAAGCTACTGCAGGCCACATCTAACCCAATGGTTTCAGAAGCTTCTGCATCCTCTGTAAAGATGTAGCAGGCCCACGTAGCTTTCAAGGCCTAGGAGCCTCCCAAGAGAAACACTCAGAACTCTTCATCCACATGGAGAAGAGGGGAAGAGGAGGTCTCCCTGTCTCAGTAGGAGGCCCCAGCTAGCCACTAAAGAGGCATCAGGCAGGTCTGTGGGGCTCTCCCCCTGAGCCTCTGGTACCTGCGTCCAGATGGTACGCTCTGCACCTGCAGCCAAGAGTCGTCCACCGGTGGGGGCATGGGGGTGCTGATGGTGCTGGTGTTGATGTCCCCAATGATGTTGAGGGCCTCCTTCAGGGCGTGGTACATGCGCAGCATCTCATCCCGCCGCTGGGCCTGCTCCACTGACTCCTCCATCAGCGTGTTCTGGTCACCACAGGAGTACAGGTTCGCCAGCAGCTCCGAATGGATGAAGTCCTTGGTCTGTAAACCAGCACAAACAGGAAACAGGTTTCCACTGTCTTGCCCAAGATACTCTGTTCTGTCCCCATCTCTTACCCCTTCCAAGCTGTCTTCAGTTTTTCTTCATTCTTTCCCTCCCTCCCTATTCTTCCCCTTGTCTGTCTCTCCCCACCTCCACTGACCACAGTGTGATAAGTACATTGTTTATCATGAGGTGCATGATTGTCTTCGGCATGAGGTCTCTGATGGTTTTGTTGACAATTGCCATGTAGGAATCCACCAGGTTCCTGATCGTTTCCACTTGTCTCTCCAGCTGAGGGTCCATGGAGTGCATGAAACTGTCTGATCCATTCTCCTCTGCTTCGCTGGCCTGCAGAGAAAAGGAACAGATTGGTTCTTCACATGTAACACAAAATTAGTTTTTCATGAGAGCACTAAGAGAAGAAAAGAAGGGAACAAAAAGGAAGCGCATGCAATAAATAAAACTTATTTAAACTTACATTTTGAGCTGTAAGTGTCAATTCACAGCTCAGCTTGTACAGACTTCTCCAGCTCAGATGCGAGGAGCTTTAACAATAAAGCTGTTCTCTTAGCAGAAGTTATTACACAAAGGTGAAAGGCAATGGGGACTCCTGACTAACATTCACAGGTCATACTCAAAGCTCTATTTTTATTTTTCAACTTTTATAGACTGCTGAAAGGTTCTTCATCTGAGCTGGGTTTTCCATTCTTGGATTCAGTTTAGACCTGAGCATCACTCACCATAAATTAAGTCTTACAGGCTCTCTGACACACTATCTTTATACTCATCATGCAAGAGAAAACAGATAGAGGGAGGTGAAATAACTGCTCACTTCAATCAGACCACAAGTAGATGGAATAACTTAGAAAAACCTTCCTGATCTGCAAATCCTGCACCCTAAGTCATAATTATATTTTCTTTCACATCAAGCAGATGAATCTCTTCCTGTCTGTCTGAAATGCATTATGTTTAGCTTTCTGTAAGGTAAAACCTGGACTGGGCTGTTTGACAGCAAGCAGTCACCAAGGTTCATCCATTTGGGATCAATTTCAAAGCAGCAAAGCATGACAGACTATTGTCTTTCTCAATGCTTATTTAAAAAAACCCTTGATTTTATAAAGAATCTTTCTGTTAAACCATCCCAGTCTGAAGGATTTACAGCAGTGTAGGAAATTGCTTATCTTTTGTTTTCGAGAAGAGAATATATGAGAAAGGGCAAATTCTTCTGTTCATTTGAGCTTTTCCTGCACAGATCTTACATAATGAAGAAATACAAAGTCTCAGTGGGAAACAAAGCAAGGGAAATGGACGTCAAACAGGACAACTTAAAAAAAAAAAAAAAGAGGTTCAAAAAAACCAAAAATAAGTTTGCACCAAGATTCAGAAGTCATACAAAAAGGGAGAAATAAAAAGAAAAAAGGAAAACTCCAACCAAGAACAGAAACAAAGAGCAGCAATCCAACAGAAGGTACAAAGAGGGAGAAGAAGCAAATGCTTCTCAGGAAACTGTGACAAAAGGTAAAAACAAGAGAGGACTATCCAGTGAGAGCCCCAAGGGGCAACACAGGCAGAAGGGTCAGACTTACTTTGTCCTTGTCCTGGCAGGCCAGTTTGAGCATATGTGGAAAAAATTAAAACAAAAAGGGACAAAAAATAAAAGAAGACTTTTAGTTGGTCTCAGAATTTGGAGAAGATTCCATAATAGCACTGAACAAGCAAAAGACCAATCCCACTAAAAATACAGAAATACTCAGATTATCCTGGAAAAGGAACAAGTGAATTGTTTAGCTAAACTGAAAATAAAAATGGGATGCTCTGCAAAGGAAATGGCATTGTCAGCAACAAAGGGCAATTTTCTTTCCTCCAACAGCTTCGTGTTATTGGTTACACAGGGTTTTGAGAGTCAGCCTAGCAGCCAGTGTTCCTTTGCCAAACCACACACCAATAGGTGGCACATGTCCTTCACCAGAATGTGTTTAAGAGGACCAGACTAGTCCAAAGCCAATTTGAAGTCCTGCCACTGTTAAGGTCGAGTCCCTAATCCTCTTTTTTTAGTACCACATCAGAAATGCTTTATGGCAAAACCCACAATCATCCAGTGGAACAGGAAAGATAAGTGCAAGAAGTCTATTAGAAACAACAAACACAAACAGATAAGCGATTATCACTTTTCTAATGGAAAAACTATTTATAGCAGCTTCCTCTTGGAGGAGAACAGGAAGGCTTTGAACAGGAACATATACAACAATTCTCTAGCACAGTCTTTTACAGCAGAGCTTAATGCTGACAGCAAGTGTTGTGGGACAAGGTTAAGGGAAAAGATAAGAGGCCTCGCTAAAGTAGCATATTAAGGTGTCTACCAAGCAAAAGAAAAAATCCAAGAAGATCCCTTCCTAATTGGTTGGGGGAAGGAAAAGGAGAACAACTACTACTCAGCCAGGAAGCTCCTAACAAGGCTGCACAGTGTTACTGAAAAGGAATGGTGCCTCTGCTCAGCAGACACATACCAGCGAGCAGTCAGGCAGTTAACTGTGCCTCTTATATTGGGAATTTAATGTCCATAAACACAGAAAGCTAGAAGGGTTTATCAAGGTAGTCTTTGCCTGCTTAATCTCCCCTTTGAAGCTGCCAATTACTTTATACCAACATTCCTTAAAGGAAGCACCAGAACATACCAAAGATATATTTTTTTTGTTCCAAACTCTCCTCAGCTCAGGAAAGAGACAAAACCCCCAGACTTATTTTTAACATAAGAGAATGTAGCTATCCCTCTTAAGACAGATGCTGTGTTCCTTGTCCCATTGTGGCAGCCACAGCTTACCCCAACACGCTCTGGGTAGACTCCTGCTCGAAGGAAGGAAGCCTTCCAGCTATCCACCTCCTCCTGGGTCTCACAGGCCAGCTCCAGCTGCCGGTAGTCCTTGTAAACATTCCTGAAATTGAAAACAAGCATTTTAGTTTTCTCTATCGCAAAACAGAGATTTGTCCATATTTGACAAAGACATCAGTGACCAGGGACTCTTCCTATCATTTTAAGGCAGACATACTCAGCCCTTTGCTAGTATCCTCATGATGACCCCACAGAGGGGAAAAGGATTACATTTTCATGAGCAAGTTTGATTGCCCCCAAATCAGTTGGGTGTCCTCTAACCCAAGCCTCTAGCCTTGCCCTAAAAGCTCAGATTTCAACAGAGCCTGAACAATTCTCTTTTCAATTCTGCTCACAGGGGACTCACTTGCCTGGAGAAGTCCAGCAATCTCCTATAGCCTTCCCTATTCACTCACAGAGAACACTGATTTTAACTATGTACTCCAGCCACAGCCAGGCCCAGGTAACTACACCAAAAAGCTGATGACTAAGGTCACACTGCAGACTATGCACTGGTAAAGAAAGAAAATGGGACATATCTGAAAGACCAGAAGGAATGAAGACAGACTTCTTTTTAAAAGTCTCCCACCTTCTTGGAGATGTACATCTTTCCTGGACAGCTGTCCCAACACCCTCATCTTTACTCTCTCCCATCTAGTATTACATAAAGCTTGTCCCTAGCTCCAACAGCTCAGTGTGTTTTGATGTGAGCATACCTCTGTTCAGTGTTGAAAAGAGCAAAGATGTGCTTGCTGGACATGAATCCTTTCTCAACGTCTCGCAGTTTCAGGTTATCCACTGGTAACATATACTTCTTCTCCTTTTCCTGCAAAGGGGATCAGTAACAAGTCACTCTCTGCTCCAACAAAGCCTCTACTCCGCCAAGCACAGAGGAGCTTGTCAGCAATGCAGCCCCCATATCACCAGGGAGGTATTCTCAATCCAGGCCTCTGGTCTCTGAAGTCTGTGAGAAAAAAGGATCTCTAGAAACAACAGTTTGTCCTTCCCAATTGCTTTTGTAATGTGGCCCTGCCCCACCAACTGCTCCAGGAGCAGGCAGCAGCATGGCACTGTCCCAGTTCCTCCAGCTGTAGTCCACATCCAGGTTCCTAGCAAGGGGATGATCAACACCATGACCCTCACCAACACTTGACACCCAAAGCAGGTCTGCCTAGGAAAGGTCTCTCAGCATTAATGTGGCAAAGGCTGCCAGTCTGGTTCCTGTGAGCTGTCTCCAGACAAACACAGAACAAGGCATCCAGACCAAGCTCAACATTTTTGACCCTAGGTAACATCTTTTAGCAAAGAACCTTGATCAGAATGTTTACATTTACATTCCAAGTCAAAAATTATTCTTCCTGCTTAGTCTCAAATCTGGATTGACAACAAATTAACAGAAGTGAGTTTGGTTTAAGGTCCCCATTTGGAACATCCTGTTCCAGCTGGGTATTATACCCCAACATAACAAGAGAGGGAGCCATCACACTGGTCTCTAAAAGGCAGAACACAGCTATCCAAGAGTGAAAGAACCAGAGCATACTTTTGTGTACAAGCATGTATGTGTGTCTGTCCTCTTGTGAGCATCTTGTGCGTGTAGACCTCTCCTAGCTGGAAACAATGAAACATGACTGCTCTCAGGGGAAATAAGAATGGAAAACAGAGATGGCCGATGAGCAGGGATCCTGAAGAGCTAGCTAGAAAAGAGGGGCAGGGCAGAACAGCAGAGGAGAATGACAAAGCTGCTGGACTCAAACACCCCGAGGATGGCAAATCCAGCCTAACATCATCTGAAGTTTCAGTTAAATTGACTTGAGTTTGCTAAGGATACCAGACACTACAGTTCATACATACCCCAAAGATCAAACTACCAGTCCATTACAAAATATATGCAACAAGAATATCCCAGGAGCCAACACCTAGAAAATAGAAGAGATCACTTGGGTAGCAGCCAAACTCTCCATTCTTTCTCAAAGATGAAAGTAGGAGAGACCTTCCAAGTAAATTTCCCTGGAATTGTTAATATTGTCAAGCAGTCTAGATTATAGGTGGGCGAGCATTTTTGTGATGAGACATCTGTCAGCCAGGTTCTGGTCTCAAAGCCTCACAGACCACTTCAGGTTCTATAAGCCACAAACAGCTTCCAGCTTTCTTTCACTATGGTTTAGGTTGAACTGGTGACCTAGAAGTGAAGTACATGAACTGCTAAGTCCCTGAGCAGACAGACCATCCCCACTGCAGTCTCACTCAACTGGAACTCACTGCATCCACCCCACAGAGTCACAGGGCTAGTAAAAAAAAAAGTTACATTTTACAGCTGTCTGAGAAAAATCATTCTGCATTAGAACCACATCACTCCATAGAAATTTAGCAATGGAGTCATCCTTCAGGAAAAAGTCCAGAGGTAAGGGAATCCCATGTCCCAGCTATGGAAAGACATGGTCTTTGCCAGAGCTTTGACTTTCACCTCTTCCGAGCTCTCGCACAAATGCTGCTGCATGATTAAAACAATACTACTCCTGCACGCTGATCTTTCCATACACCAGAGGAAGGACGTGTGTATCTGTCTGCCAGCATAAAATATCAGTCCTCTGACTCTGAGGCAGCAAGAACAATCCAATGGAGAACAGTGGCACAGGGGAAGAAAATCCCAAGCCCGCAATGCGCACTGCGCCGAGCCCCGGCCGCCCTCCGTTTTTTCCTCCCCCCTCCCAGCCCCCCACTTCAGCCTTTCCAGCTTCTCAGTTTTCAACCCAGCCTGGTTTATATCAACGCTCTGACTTCATTTCCTGAATGTAGAGACAGGAAAGTGTGGAACGAGCTGCCAAGGGCTGAGCCTCTTAAAACTTTGGCTGAGCCCTCTGCCCATATGTTAGCAATCTGGCAGCATGTGCTATGGCTGAACAGCATCCTGGCCAAGAGGGGAAAAGGTCTCCTCTCTCTAGCCTTCCAGACTTGGAGGATGGGGGGAGAAGAGGGAAGAGCTAACACAGAATGGGAAAGCAGTTTGTGAAATACTATATTCAAAGCCTTCAGCCTGATCCCAAGAAGTTTATGTTGCTCATAAGATATCTCCCCTCACCTATAAGAAAAAAAAATAGGCAAAATTCTCTCAGCACCAGGGTGTATGTTATGTAAAACATGCATGTTGGCTGAGAATTAATCTGTAGAGCTGTGAGGCCAAGGAGAGGTAGCAAAGTGGCAGAAGGATTCAGGCTGGCTGTACAAAACAGGACGTGGATGCTCAGTGTTGGCCATGGAATGTTGTAGGCACAGGACTAGCTACCCCTAATCAGAGCTGCTGCTCCCAATGGGAGTCACACCACTTGCAAGGGGAACTTCAGAAAAAGAGGAATGCAAGCTACTTGCCCAAGCAGGATAAGTACCAGAGGATTACTCCCCACCCCCAACATCATGCAGATACAGCCATATGGCTCTGTACTTTGCATCTACCAAAGAAAATACATGTGGCCAGGAAGGAGACCAGGATCCACGAGCCATTCCAGCTGTGGGGTGTGAAGCACAATAGATGGAAGAAAAAAAGGAGTGCTGCAGTTGCAGCCAGATGATGTAATATCTTTATTGCAGCTACACACCTCCTTAACGGTGGCCAAAATCTAGAGATTGGTTTTGGCCAGAGACAGCAATGGTTTGCACTGTCATCTGAATTATTTGTTGCTATCCTGTAGGTCATAACCTATAAGAAGTTTACAAAATTCAGCAGGCAGCAAGCCAGCCTGATTCAAAGAATTTCCTCCATTCAACTGGACTGCCTCTACAGCAAGTTAAATTTTCCTACTCATGGAAACATGTGAAATGAAGCTGACAGATGCATGTGTGGGCTCCCCTAAGGTTGGAAATTGGTACTCGTGGTACAAGAAAGTAATTGACAGAATTATTAGGTCTCCGTTTGCATTTAGAGCACAAATAAACTAATTAAAGGTTTCCCTGTGGCTGTTATGACAAGCACCACCTTTGCAGAAAGACAGGAGTCTGTGGATGTGGGAGAAAGCATTGCCATTGTTTTAATTTGTGGGCATGGAAAATTAGGAGAAATTCATCTTGCTTAAACCTTTTAATCTCCTCTCCTTGTAAGATGTAAAGCACTGTGGGCAAACAAACCTGCCCCAGAGATGACTGGAACTTCAGTCAAATCATTTGTGTTAAACACACACATGGTATTTTGGGAACTCCTGTAATAAAACTCCACTTAAAAACATTAACACCATAACTGATAACAAACACACTGCAAGGATACAGGCACACTAAAAGATTATTATGAAGAAGTCTCTGGAAAACATTTGAAAGCAAGTCAGCTGAGCATTTTAAGTTGAACCACCACCACCCCCAACCAAGAGAGCTCCTTGGTGCTTCTTGTCTTTGCAGAGAACACGCACATTAGGAGAGCTAAAGTTCTGAGCACTGATTCTTCCCAGAAGCCCTAGTCATCCCACAGCACATGTGCATCTTGAGACCACCTTCCCAAAACACAGCCCACCTGTATCACTTAACTTTTGCCCTCGGAGCATAATTTACTGGACACTGATCACTGCTCCAAGCCACAAAGCAGCTGTAATGGCTTGTTTACTTCAGAAAGCTGCATTTGTTTAACTTAAACAACACACCCTAAGATTTTAAGCTGATTTAGCTCAAAAGCTCCGTAGACACTAGGCCTGGACTTATGTGATTAATCACAACCGTTACTGTTGGCTTAGTAAGCACAGCAATGGTAATCAACTCACCTGCACAGAAGGAAAGACTTATTTACTTTTTTTTTTTTACACTTTTATTTATATTCAACTGAAATAATGTGCAGATATAAACATGCAACCAAATGCAACCTTAAGAAGCTGTGAAAGAGCACATGAGAAAGCACAAGCAGTAACTGGGTAGCTTCAGAGAGCCTACAGTGCCCAAACTCCACTGTCATGACCTCTCTAAGGCCACAGCAATGCCCTCCAGCCTTTGTGAAGGACAAGCAGGCACTTCTTTTCCTAGGCCTGTCCCTGTGCCAGGGCAAGGGTGAACCATCCCCCAGTATTTACTTGCTTTGATGAGGTAGAGTGCAACACACACAAAGCGTTGCCCACCTCCGGAGAAGGGAGCGGGCCGGTTACCCTCCCCGGCGCATGGTTAGAGCCAAAGTGGGAGTTCTAAGCGTTCATATTTTCAGCCACAAATCTTAACTCTCCACCAGCAGGCACTCAAGGGAACGGGAGCCTGGAAGGGAGATGTGTGGTGCACATAAAGGCCTCTTTATCCCTGCAGCACCGAGGAGAGAAGGAGCAGGCGGCACGGAGGGCGAACATCTGGAATCGCTA